TTTTTTTTTTTTTTTTGAGATAGAGTCTCACTATATCGGCCTTAATAGAGTGCCATACTCACACTTATGGGCTTAAGTGATTCTCTTGCATCAGCCTCCCAAGTAGCTGGGACTACAGGTGCCTGCCACAATGCCTGGCTATTTGTTGTTGTTGTTGTTATAGCTGTCATTGTTATTTGGCAGGCCTGGGCTGGGTTCGAACTCCCCAGTCCTGGTGTATGTGGCTGGCACCCTACCTGCTGAGCTACGGTCGCCGAGCCTCTTATTTCAAAATATTAAGGGGTTACAAATAGATTGTACACTTAAATGCAACACCTAAGACTATTGAATCTCTGGAAGAAAGTATAGGAGCAAACCCTTGCAAATGAATAACAAAATATTTCTTAGGTATAACACCAAAGGCATAATCCAAGCAGGAAGAAAACCAAACTGCCCTACTTAAAATTTAAAGCTCCTGCTCTTCAAAAGACACTGTTAGAAGAACAAAAAGAAAAATCACAGAGTGGAAGGAATATTTGCAAAACACTGAAAAGGACTTGTATCCAGAAAAAGAACTCTCAAAACTCAGTATGAAGAAAAATGAACAATCTAGTGAAAAAATGGGCAAAACATGTGAACAGACATTTCACCAAAGAAGGGCTATGGATAGCAAATAATTACATGAAAAGATATTCCACATTATTTGTCACTAGGGAAATAGAAACCAAAGCCACAATCAGACATCATTACACTTGCATTAGAATGGCTTACAGAAACAGCAGAAAAGGGAGTGGACTGGAGGGGCAGCACCAAATACTGGTGCCGATGCACACTGACTGGAGCCCTCACACCCTGTCCGGAGAATGCAAAATGGTACAGCCATCTTGGAAAACAGTGTGTCAGCTTCTTATGAAGTTAAACAGTTACCATGTGATCTAGCAATTGTGCTGCTACTACTTATTTACCCAAAAGAAACAAAAACTTATATAAAAACCAGTACACAAATGTTTATAGCTACTTCTTAGTTGTCAAAAGGTGGCAACCACCTAAACATCCTTCAGCTGGGGAAGGGATAAGCAGTGATACATCCATAGATTGTGAGCCCCTGAGCAGTCCCCAGGAGTGAACTCATGACACAGGTACAACACTCTCAAATACATCATGTTGCATGACAGAAGTCAGTGAAAGACTCAAAAGGGTACCTGTGCTCCATTTATGAGACATTATGGAAAAGGAAAAATAATAGGGATAGAGAATAAGTGGTTGCCAGGATCTGGGGCTGGAGAAGGGAGGAACTACAAAGGGGCGTGAGGGGATTTTCTGGAATGACAGAACTGGTTTGTATCTAGGTCACAGTAGTGGTTACATGACTGTATACATCTGTCAAAACCCATTAAACTATACACCTAAAAGTGATGACTTCTATTGGATGCAAATTTTATCTTAATAAGGCTGATCCTATAAAAGATAGTAGGAATGGTGTTTAAAATATCCAACAATAAAATTTTCAATAATTGGCTCAGCGCCCATAGCTCAGTGAGTAGGGTGCTGGCCACATACACCGAGGCTGGCAGGTTTGGACCTGCAACAAAAAATAGCCGAGTGTTGTGTTGGGCATCTGTAGTCCCAGCTACTCTGGAAGCTGAGGCAAGAGAATAGCATAAACCCAAGAGTTTGAGGTTGCTGTGAGCTGTGACGTCATAGTGCTCTACTGAGGGCGACATAATGAGACTCTGTCTCTCAAAAAAAATTTTTTTTTCAGTAATTAAGATTATTTCACCAGGAGTTTATAAAATGGGAATAGGCTACAAATTTCACACAGAGCACGATGCCAATTGTGTAGATACACGAATAGCAGAATGTGAACACCTCTGAATAGAGCTTAACAACTGTTACGACTGTGTGCTTTCATTTTCTTCCCATTTCTCTGCATTATACAAATTCTCATGGTGAGTACACTGTTAGCCAAAACAACCACAGAAACTAAAAGGTGGTGAACAGAAAAAGTGGCTGTTTCTGCTTATTTGCCCTTTCACCTAACTTGAGTTGAAAGGGAAGGCTAAGATGTATTTTTCAAGTGAATCTGAAACAGAATCTAAAAAACTGCTACTGCACAGTCCATTGGGAATTTGCTATCAGATCACTTTTCACAGAGTGGAATTTTGTACACAGAAATATCTTTTGGGGAGCTATGTACAAGTTTCTAACGAGGAAATGCTCAGGATGACCTGTAACAGGTGGGTCCCCCACACTAAGTCATGATTCCCAGTGACTAGTGGGAAGTCCTGGGGATGCCAGTAGGACAGGGGGGTGCAGACTGCACTGAACCGCGGCCTCACCAGCCCTCACACACCTCCCTGGCCCCTTCTGGCTGAAAACCATGTTTAACATAGTAAGTAAAAGGCTCCTTGGGGGAGTAGGGGCTGCCAGAGTTCTGCAGCCTGGTCTCTTGGGGGACCTATAACTACCCCTGTACATCTTGTTTCTGACTTTAATGAGACATGTAATAGCAAGAGGAGATAGCTTCTCTAAGTAGATTTTAAAGTTCTATACTGTAACCCTAAGGTTTAAGCTTCAAAAGTTCAGCAGATTAGTCAAGAACTCCAATAAAACTCACCATTTTGAGCAAACATTTAAAGGTCTAATGTGCTCTTTTAAATAGTAGGACAGAGACTTGGAACAACACCTCTATTTACCTGAGCCGTCAGTCATCCTCCTTTTGGCCCAGCTCTGTGAGTGCTATCTAACCAGCACCAGCAACAGCACCACCTGCCCAGCAGTACTCTCAGAACAGCCAGCAGAGGAGAATCGCACCTCTCATGCTGGCTGAGCGTGAGGCAGGGTTTTTTTTTTGCAGTTTTTGGCCAGGGCTGGGTTTGAACCCGCTGCCCTCTCCTTTGAGCCACAGGTGCTGCCTGGGAGGCAGGGTTTTAAAGACATTTTAGCCAAGCTTAAATGACATACAGAATAGTTTTCCTTTATGAATCAACCAAGAAACATACCTTGAATTCCTCATTTGGAGAGTACCTAGCACTATCCATCAACTCTGAGCATAGTAACTCTAAAAAGGAGAGGACTCACACTTTACATTTGCTTCCTGAAAACAGGATGCAATCAACTGCACTTAAAATATTTGCTCAGTACATAACATGTATGTAAAACAGAAACCCCGAAGGGCAGCGGTCACTTGATTTTTATCAAATGACTTTATCTCATGAAAGTCTAGGTTGGTAATTGTTTTTGATCTAGAACAGCTCCCCAAAATACTCACCTTTGGAAAGAATCCTTCATTTCTTCTACAGTTTGGATAAGTTTCACCCACTGCAGAGAGGTGTAGTTCATGAGCTTTTGGAGCCAGCCAGCATCCCATGTATCTGACTTTACAACTCTGCAGCTCCAAGCCTCAGTTTCCTCTCTACAGATGGGAAATAATGATCTCTATGCCTTACTGTGTATTTATAAGGCTAGGTAATACAGGATACCCCCAGACAATGTCTAGCATACAACATAAATCCAATAAATGGTCATTTCTTTTGTTATTTAGGTCATTTTGTTATCTGGGATGGAGTCCAGTACTTAACTCTTATTTTATCTTAGATATTTAAATGTGTAACTAAGAAAAATGATACTGTTTTGTACAGCACACAACATTCTATGGTCTTAAGTTTTGCTACTTCCTCCTTGGAAAACAGTAAATTCCTGTGGGCACCCTATCTTTTACACCCTCACCGCTAGTGCTGGCACCTACCCCCTGAGTGAGTCCACTAAGTACCTGACAGCCTCCTGAGGCCTAGAGCTCAGACTCAACAACTCAGAACTGTTTTTGGATAGACAGACTTTGCCACACTGTACCTAACTCTTTACTGTAGTTGCCTGCCACCCCGGAGCCATGGCTCCTGGTATACTCTGTCTTGCTCTGAGGGTTTAACGCAGACCCTTCCCAGGGCATGAACTTTGTACTTTCATTCATTATGGGACTTTATTAAAGTAATTGAGCAAGCAAATTGGCAGATTCAACAGGTTCAGCATCTGATATCCTGACCTACATCCTGCTGATACTAACAGGATCAAATGCTGAAAACAAACCAGGTAAAAAGGATCCATTAAATTTCCACCTTGCACTGTCACAAGTCTCACTCGATAAATTTTCTCAAGTTCTCTGATTCAATTAAAAGTTGTTAAGACATCTTTCTCTCTCTCTTTTTTAGCAGCACTGACAAAGAAGTACAAAATTTACATATTTTTTTTTTAGCTCAAATCTTGTGGCAGTGACAGTTTTACTGTCAATGGGAGGAAAAAAAATCCTATTTTAATTATAGTATTATAAATTCAAAACCCTAGATAACTTATAGAAAGTTTTCACTTGAAATGATAAAATTTATAAAAAGAGCTAATCTACTAATGCAGTCTATCATTAGGTATTTCAATTTTAATATTTTTAGGATTATGCTAATACAAGAAAAAAAGAAAAGTTTATCCCTGCAAAGTAATAGGTAAAGTCAAAAATTTTAAAAGAGGGTGGTGCCTGTGGCTCAAAGGAGTAGGGTGCCGGCCCCATATGCCAGAGGTGGCAGGTTCAAACCCAGCCCCGGACAAAAAAAAAAAACTGCAAAAAAAAAAAAATTTAAAAGAGACCATGAGTGAAGGACAGGCATACAAGAGGGAAAGCCCCGCCCCCTTCTGAACCACACTCAGCATGACCCGAATACATTCTCACGTTTGGTTCGGTATTTAACACTTGTTGACAGTGATAACAAGGTATCATGTTGAAGACCAAGGATGCTAAGGATTAAAGCTTCTTCAATACTTAATTTAGGGACAGGAGGAGACACAGGTGAAGGGAGATGCCCAGATGCAAGGAGACACTAATATATATAATCAAAGCTTCAACAAGTATTTTAAAGTTTTCTGTTAAAAATCAAGCTTTAGCACAATGTATAAAAAGCATATGCAACATTTTTGCTGCTTCAGTGATTTCGTTAGTAGTCAGATCTGGCCCACATACAAAAAAGGAATTAATTAAAAAATGGTGAACCCTTAGCTTAGGTATGAGTCAAGCTGCATTACTTGACTGCGACCTTCCTTTGGTCTGGTGGTTAGTCTGCGAAGCGGGGCACCTGGCGCAATGTGCAGCAAAGGGTAATGATAATCACATTGAGGTCCATGTTTTTAAGAATGTAACCCTGGGTAAAAGCACTGGCTTTCTTATAGGGTGAAATTAAGGGCTCCATGACCTTGGGCAAGTCACACAGCCCCTGGACCTTTGTTTTCTTAATTGTAAATGGACAATAATGATGATCTCACAGCTTTAAATGAAAGAACTTCCATCAAGCACTGTGCTGTCCTGGACCCTTTAGAGAGCATTCAGCAAGCAGTGGCTACAACTATCACCATGTGACTGCTGCCCAATCACGCCAGGGCCAGCGCCCCTCAGCAGCAGGGAATGGCCTTTCACCCACACTCATGGGCAGGAAGCCTGTTCTGGTCTCCTGCTCTGGCCCTGTGGGGTATGTGTCCTAAGGGCCAGAGGGCTCTAGGTTGAGTTAGGCCATGGACCCCTGTGGTGTGTCCACGGGGTAGAAAGGATACAGAATTGAGCTCAGAAAGGCCTGAGTTTACCTTTCAACTCTGCTTCTCACTGGCCACACAGACCTGCACACGTTCTTGCCCTCTGAACTCAAGGCATCTGCTTCATGAAAATAAGGATAAGTCTCCAGCTCAGAACTACTGTGAAAACTAAATGAAACAAGCAGAGGACAGACTCCTACTACAGTGTCTAGCATGTCGTGGGCTCTCAACATGTGTTAACTTCCTATTTCCTTTGCTTCTTATATAATTCTGCTTATGAGAAGAATTGAGGTTTTGCTGGGAACAGTGAAAACTCGGCTACTTAAAATTACATGTAGGAGTAGGCCTCTGTGCAAATTTAAACGCACATTTTAAATACTGAATCTTTAAACACATTAGGAAAATCTCTAAACCACGGAAGAGAGAGATTACTAAAATAGACTAACCATATTTAACAAGGAGACTCCCTCACCCCCACCCTACCCCACGCCTTATGCTACCCAAGCCAGAGCTTTTTAGGATTTCTCAAATTAAATTGAATTGATCCTAAAAATATCTGATCTGGTGGAAGCTGACACGGGAGTTGCCACCAAGTGGAGTCTTCCTGTGATTTCTCCCCCAAAATAGAAGTTTCTGGAGCATTTAAAGAGTACACAACCCTGGAACTTCAGCAAGATACAACACAAACCTGCTGGAGAAAGCTCTTCCTTCATTCTTTTTAATTTCTTGGCCTTTTTCCTTCTTTCTGAGAGGGATTCTGCACAGGAATCTATCTGCTCAAGCTCAGTGTCAGAAATCTTCCCGGATGCTCTGTCCTCCAAGCCAGCTTCTTCTAGGGTAGGACTCAAATTTCTTTTTCCTACTGTGCTGGTAGCTGTAAAACTGAAACGCAAAGTAGAACAACATGAAAGGTGTTGAGAGAGACAGGAAGATTAGTCTATAAAAACATTTTAATACTTTTCATTCCATTAACACTTGACTAGCAATCATCAACATGGGCAGCAGCTGTCTCTATATAAAAATTAAAGGCCTTATTATGAACTAGAGTCTAAAAGTTTACCTATGAAAACTCATTCAGAAGGAAGTTCTAAATTATGCTTGTATATAGATATATGCAAATATAAATTGTTTTAGTGCTTAACAACAAATGTGTCAAGAAAATTCCTGGTCTCTATTTTGATAAAGCTATTGTAACAGTAGAATAGAATAGCAAAGCTACTATAATAAAATAATAGCTTGGATTGCATTTCATTAGAAGACAGCAGCATCAACTTCATGACGGCCTGCTGGACGAGCAGCAGAGCTACAGAGTCCGTGAGCCAGTCGGCTCTCACACTGCTCAAAAGTTGAACACAGTTATGAGCATACCCACCTTCATGTAATTTTCTTTTCCAGAAATGTGACTTGTTAAAAATTTATAGTTAAACCTGGCTTCATTTTAAAAGCTTTATGGGATTTGGTATACTGAATTAAATCACGTTATGTGTCCTGATTTTTCCTTGAGAAAACAGGTTCCCTGAAATATAACCGGATAAAAACGGAGTCCACACAGCCAGTGAATCGTTTTTCCTCTGAATCGGTCTTACATATTTTTCACAATAGTCCCCACATTATGAAAGGCATAAAGAAATTCAAGGCATTCCATTTAAGGGAGTCATTCACACACAGAGAGGGGGTGGGGGAAGGGGTAAGAGAGAGGGAAAAAGAGAATGAGAACAGACACACTCCTCTCAGCCTGTCCTAGAAGTGAAATTTATTAAAAAGAAAGCAGAAGACAGACTGTAGCCCTCACATCTTCTTAAGACCCACGGGCTGGCCTTCCATATGTCCTCTTTTTTGCATCTATTATAGAGCTTTCTAAAACATCTTTTTATTTATTTCTATTTCAGATTAATATGAAAGTACAAACAATTAGGTTACATTGTTTGTCTTTGTTAGGTAAAGTCCAAGTTGTAGTTGAGTCCTTCAGCTAGGAGGTGTACCACACACCCCTACATTGTGCCCACTAGGTGAAAGCTCACCAATACCCTGCCCCTTCCCCCTCCCCTCACTTGAATGTAATTGTGTTTTCCTCTTGTGTCTAGTTGTTCATCTACCGGTTTCATACTACTATTTAGATACTTTCCTAAGGAGAATGTTCTTCCACTCCATTCAGTTTTTTTGCTCAGAGGATTTTTAGATTGGCAAAAATAAGCAGAAGCTCAATAATACACTTCATTATTAAGAGTGGTGAAATGGCCCTGTCACACACTGCTGGTGACAATGCAACACGGCAAAACTTAGTCTTACGAGCCGAGTGTGGCAACAGCTAACAAAAACGAAAGAAGTATTTATTCTTTTGAGCCAGCAATCTCACTTACAGGGATTTAGAAGGTACTTCCAACTATGCAAAAATGCATTATGTATAAGTTATTCATTATAGCATTATTTGTAGTTGCAAAACACTACAAAGTTCCTAATTGTCTAAGCATAGAAAATTGGTTAAATACACTGTGGTACAAAGAATGATGAAGTACCCAACTGTTGCAAAAAAAAAAAAGAAAGAAAATCTCAATGCATTGAAAATGATTATGAAACGAATCAATGACATAGTATCAATGATGACTATGAAGTGATTATGAAATGATTTAATGATATAGTATCAATGATGACTATGAAATGATTCACAGTAAAAAATATGCCCAAAACAGGCTGGATGTGGTGGCTCACGCCTATAATCCCAGCAGGTGGAATGCCTGAGCTCAAGAGTTCAAGACCAGCCTGAGCAAAAGTGAGATGTCATCTCTACTAAAAACAGAAAACTAGCTGGGTGCCGTGGTGGGCACCCATAGTCCCAGTTACTTGGGAGGCTGAGGCAGGAGGATCTCTTGAGCCAAGAGTTTTGAGTTTGCTGTGAGTTATGACACCATAGCACCCTATTGAGGGCAACAAAGTGAGACTGTCTCACAAAAAAGAAAACAGAAATATTTTGTCCTCATCCCTTTTTAATTATGAAATCACAATTTTCTTAATATTGAGTTGTAAGAGTTTTTTATATTATCCTAGATTCAACTACTTTATTAGATATGTTTTGCAATGTTTTTCCTTAGTCTGTGACTTCTCTTTAGAGTTTTATTTTGTATCTTTTGACAAAATGAGCATTTAATTCTGATTAAGTCGAATTTATTAATATTTATTTTGTAATGCCTCATGATTTTGTTGTCGTATCTAAGAAATCTTTGCCTAACCCAAAATTGTCTTGCATTTTCTAGCAGTGTTATAGTTTTAGTTCTTCACTTTAGGCCTATGAGTTATTTCAAGTTCATTTTGTATATAGTGTAATGTAAGAATAGAAGTTCGTCTTTCTTAACACACCCCCTATTATTTCAGTAAATGTTATTGACAACACTGCCCTTTGCCTACTGGATTAAAAGTACCTTTGTCAGGAATTTTTAGTTTTTCTAAATTCCCAATAGTCATTAACTTCACAATTTGGGAATAAGAATCAAAATGCCCAAATCATAAATTATTCTGTATTTTTTCACAGTACTTTATTGCTATTTCTGAATAATACATTATCATAAATAGTGAATCACTTTTCAGTGATAGAGTTGTATTAAAAGTTTCAAGGGGCTCGGCGCCTGTGGCTCAAGTGGCTAAGGCGCCAGCCACATACACCTAAGGTGGCAGGTTTGAATCCAGCCTGGCCCGCCAAACAATGACGGCTGCAACCAAAAAATAGCCGGCATTGTGGTGGGCACCTGTGGTCCCAGCTACTTGGGAGGTTGAGGCAGGAGACTCGCTTGAGCCCAGGAGTTGGAGGTTGCTGTGAGCTGTGATGCCACAGCACTCTACCCAGGGGGACAGCTTGAGGCTCTGTCTCCAAAAAAAAAAAAGTTTTAAGGGTCAGTTCTGTGAAGTAAGATACAATGATATATACATAGGTTACTATTATGAACCAATATATTGTTAAAAAAATCATACATTTCAATGACATACAAAAATACTACTCAATAAAGACATTTGGTACTAGAAAACATTAAAAGAATACATTAGCACTGAATAGGTACCAAATAAATACCATTTAAAAATTAAAAGATATCACAAATATTTAAAAGTTATTTTTCCTATATTTATGTTAAAAAATAAGTTATTCTTAAATGATCTTTTAAAACACACAGGCATTAACTGTTAGTATTTGTTTTGTTAAAAATATCTCAAACATGGGAGAGCTTTTGTGTGTTATGTTGATGTTGGTAAATTAGTAAGAGTGTGCCCAAAGCAAATTAAAGTTGGGCTTTAAACTATATAGTGCTTCACATAATAAGCTCATTTTCTTTTTCAGGGATGAAAATACTTTTTCTGCTTGCCGTCTCTTTGCTGTCAAAATTGATATTGCTTTTCCTAATTCAGATTTTACATCAGCTGATTTCATGATGGAGTATTCTACAACAATATGTATAGTTTCTCTTTACATTTCTTCTATAAAATATTTAAAGAATTGTAGCCTGCATCAAATATTCAAACAATGAAAAAAACCCCTGAACATGACTGGATTCTAAGAAGATAAGGTAACATTTGGATAACCCAGCAAGGTTAATAGCACCTCACAAAATCATGTTTCAAAATTACCAACTTTAGGACTGCTTCCAAAACTTACCTCTTGAGTTTTCTAAAGTGTACTAATGTGCATAAATAATAGTTTTTTTTATAGATAAGAAGACTTACTGTTAGCAACTGATGGGACCACGGTCACATATTTGTAACATAGCAACAGCACCAGGCAAGACTGGTTGACTTGACTGTGACCCCATTCTTGCCGACATGTTCCTGTCCTGGTCCTGAAAATGTTGACCTTAACTTTTGACTTCACATGATTCCTTCACATGACCTTAACCATGACTTCTTGCTTCTGACCTGATGCCAGTGAATTACTTTAAACTAGTAATGCTAATATCGACTGCTAAAACTTTAGTTCTCATAGAATTTTTCCTTTTTCCTGACTTCTCAACTGATTTTCCTCATGATTTCGAATATCACACACATATCCCTAGAGATGCAGGAAGGAATTCCCACGTGGAAACACTACTGGAAACCCACTACTCACACACGTGCGGCTGTGCTTCTGGAGACTACTCTGTTGTGCTGTGCACCTGTCTCTCTTTGTGCTAGCACCACACTGCCTTTATTACCACAGGTTCAGGAAGTCTTACAGACAGGGAGAGTAAGTCTATTAGTTGGCTGGAAGGTTCAAGCTGCTGCATAAAAAAAAACCACCTTTCATTTTAAAGGGTTGCTAGTTACAAAATTCTCTATTGTGATACTTGCAGACAACTACTGGAAGCTGAACAAGTACTGACATTTCCACACTGCTGAAAAGAAAGCTTCTCTTAAGCAGGAGTGACTTGTCTGAGGTGGTCTGGCTGCTGAGGTGAGACTGAGCTGCGCTCCAAGTCCAGCGCTCTTGGGATTGCTTTACACTCGTCCCTTCCCATCCTCCTTGGGCCAGTTCCTTACTGTATGGGCCTCAACTGAAAAGAGACCCTGACTCCCGGAGGTGTCCGGATGGCCCTCTCCCTGTAGCCTTCATCTCTCCTTCCCACTGTTTTCTTCCTCCTACTCATCTCTACCTATGCATGTTATTTATTTCCTTACTTGCTTATTTTCTTTCTACGACTAGAACCTAACTTCCTTCACAGCAGGATCTTATACTCCTTGTGTTTTCAGTAACTGGCATGAAGGTTTGTCCTTGCCCACGGTTTGTTGCATGGATGAAATAAATAAGTCAATGTCATAAGCAATAAGGCAAGTGACAAATAAGTTTACTTTGTCCTGAATTATATAGCATCAACACAGTTTATATTCCATGTGTGGGCAACTTCCCCAGTGAGGCTGGATAAAAA